AAAATAAAATAAAATAAAATAAATAAAATAAATAAAAATAGAATAGAATAGAATAGATAATATTAGTATGAGGTTTTTTAAGGTGGTGTGTGGCCCATAAGGATCCTCATGTATGGTTTATTCTCCTCTTCACCCATGCCCTTTTCTGTTTGAGTTTGATACCACTCTCTTAGTCTGGAGTCAGGAAGACCTGAGTTCAAAGCCAGCCTCTGATACTTAACAGCTGTGTGATCTTGGGCAAGTCACTTAAACTCTCTCTACCTCAGTTTTCACAACTGTAAAATGGGGATAAGACTAGCACCTGCCTCCTAGGGTTGTTGTGAGGATGAAATGAGATAATGTTTTTAAAGTGCTTAGCACAGTGCCTGGCACATAGTACACACTTAATAAATGCTTCCTTTCCTTCTTCCTTCCCTCTCTTACTCCTTGCCTCTGTCTCCACCCCCCCCATTCTACTTCCCTCCTTCCTCCCTTCTTCTACCCTTCCTTCTTCCACCCTTCCTTCTTCCTTCTCTCCTTCCCTCTCTGTGCCAGGTGCTGTGCTAAGAGAGCAAGGAGTCAAAAGAAAAAAACAATGATTATGCATTTGTCACCAAAATGGAAATATCCATGTGGAAAAATATAAATGGATTCTAAGTCCTAAAAATCCATAGCTATCAAGAATTCCTGTGTAAGTTGTTATAGATACTTGCCTTTTCCTTTCCTTACACAAGGGCACCCCATTTTCTATATCGTGTGTTGTATGTGTATATGTATCGAGAAAGGCAGCAAGAGGGGAGTCATCCTCAGTCAAGAAGCCCTGGATTCAGGCCCTGCCTCTGACACATTTGGGTTCAGAGGCCTAGAACAAGACAGTCCACCTCTCAGTGCCCCAGGCAGCTCTCTTAGGCTATCATTCGCAGAGAAGGTGCTGATCTGTATAGTAGGGGGAGTTTCCACACTGAGATTTCTCTAAACCAATGAAATTATATATCTAGGTCAAAAAATATTTTACATGAATGTGTGTGTATACGCAAAAAATATAGAAGGTGCTCTGAAATGCAATGTGTAAACTTGATTTCTGTAGATTAAATCAGATTTTCCCATAAAATAACATGATAATTTCAGAGAATCTTTATTGTTTTATTAGTTGTCTCATTGATTGCTCGAGATTAGTTGTCTCATTAATCATGAATATATCTAAAAATACAGACTTAGAGAGCAAGATAATTTGGTATTATTGAATATTCATTTTGTCCAAAGAATTTGCCCCAGTTTTCCCTTTCTGTTTTGGTTTGCTATGTTATGGTCAAGGCTTGACTCTGGATAGCAGCTCCTTGAACACTCAGACTGCTAGGACTCAGAACCTGGAAGTAGCTGAAGGGAAAACACCCCCCAGACCTCTTTGGCAACAAAGAAGCCATCTTGAGCCAACCCTTAGAGTCCAGCTGAGAAGATCCATCAGCCTAAAGCTTCCATCCAACATTCTCTGAATTGTCAGTGATTCTTGAAGACCAGTCTTGTCACAGGAGAGCTGAGAAGTGACAAGAGATTGAAAAGATAAAGGATGAAAAGCTCAAAAAACCAATCAATGGGTAATTAATAAGCACCTACTTTGTATCAGGACCTGGTAGTCACGGACAACACGTAGAAGGACAACAATGAAATGATCCCTGTGGTTAAAGAACTTATACTCTGTCAGGAGAGACAACCTGTATTTACTTCAAGAAGTCTAGGCAACATCAGTACAAGGTACACTCTGTTGTACCTTTATTGAGATTGGCCAAGGCCTGGTGTAGAAGCTTCAACTTGAGCAGAGTTTTGAAGTCGCCAAGGGATTCTGCAGAGTCAAGGTGAAAGGGTGAGTGTGTATCAGATCGGGGTACAGCAAGTGCCAAGGTCCAGAGATGGGAGATGGAAGGTCATCTGTGAGAAAAAGGAGTATAATGGATGCTGAGGTTGGAAAGGGCTTTTCAGACTAAACAGAGGAGCGGAGGCAATAGGGAGCTACTGGAATTTGAGTAGGGGAGTGACATGGTCAGACGTGTGCATTAGGGAAGTCCCAAAAGAAGGGTGGGAGTGGGTTGAATATCCTTAATAGTAGTACTGATTCTGGTTTGGGGGATCATAGTTTACCACTGAAAGGAACATTGGAGATCATTTAGTCCAGATTCTTCTGAGGAAACTGAGATCTAGAGACTTTCTAGGACTTGCCTCAATGACAACACACAGCTAGTAAGTAGAGGTAAGATTTGATTCCAGGTGTCCGAGTGTAGGGCCCTATTTCTAGCCCCATGTTGCTGCTCTAAAGTGATAAAGATAATAGTTAAATAGCAAGATAAAGCAAAGAGAGCTAGGAATGAGAAAACAAAAGAGCAGTTCTGTGATTCGGAGGGAGAAAAGCAGCCATGCAAAGCCTAGCATTTTATCTCTTGGAGGCACAGGAACTTTCTTCTGTGTCATGGAAACAACTGACCCTCTACATTTTTGAATCCAGTGCTTTTAAAAGAGTGAGACCTTTCTCTAGTGACAAGCTGAGCCACGAGAACAGAGCAGTGATGTTTATCCCCTGCACAGCAAAGCTAGTTAGAGCCATCCTCTAGGGAAAGGCAAAAAGTAAAAGGAAGATCATGCTGACCTTAACAAAGAAGTCCTTTGCAAATTCGGAATCACCTAAGAGACATGGAACAGTGATACATCGATATGCTGCCTAAATTAGAGCACGTCGGATTGGATTCTCAGTGAGTGTACCTTTGCAGAAAGATCCGGGGATGCCTCTAATTGCCACTCCCATGCTGATTGGAATGACAAAAGGTTCCTCATAAGCAAATGCAGTTTCCTAGTTCATGTGTGTTTTCAGGATGGCCTTAGCATTTCAAATTTAGGTACAATTGGAGTCTAGATAATAGCTAATAAAAAGTTATCTTTTCAAGAACTTACTGCTAAGTTATATCTGCCTCCTAAATAGCTTTCCAGTACTGGTGAACTGATGTACTTAAGCAACTTTACCACTTCTCTCTTAGCAGGTGTAAGTCAAGACTCTAACTAGAATTGTAAGAAGCACAGGACCTCAGAACTGGAATGGACCTCAGAAACTATCTGGTTCAAATTAGTTTCTATACCTAAAAAAGAAATCGTTCTGTATCATAACTGGACATATTGTCAGTCATTTAGCCTTTGTTTAAAGACCTCTCATAAGGGAAAACTCGCCACCTCCTGCCCACTCTTTCTGAGGATGTGTTGATCGGTGGTGTGTGTACAGGCTCCCATAAAAGAAATCTCTAGTATATTCACAAGTGTCACGTAGGTTACCCACTGCCTAACTGAACAAATGAAAGTTTCTCTATCTGTTTCTTTCATCTTTTTCTGTCTTCAGTGAATTCAGAACCAACCAATCAAAGCTATTTTCTCTATAAAAATTGTACATTTTGCCTCAAGGGATCAAAATTCTAACATTTTTTATTACCTTCCTGATACTTAAAAGTTACTTCACTTGATCCCATTTGTGGACCAGGATGTTAGACTATAGAATATCATTACAAAGGAGATTCATGAGATATTTGCTTTATCCTGAAAGGGATGTTGTAGAAGAGATTTGTGCGTCAGGTAAGGATGAGACTGAATAATCTCTAATGTCCTTTCCAACTCTTGAGACTCTGAACTAAGGGGCTGGATAGAATGACCTTCCTGAAGACCCTTCCAACATGAAGATGTGCCAAATTCAACAAAACCTGGCCGTGTTAATATTTCCATGTTAATTGGAAATAAACTCCATCTTGTGGCCTCATTAGAGACTGCAAGTAAGTTAAATTTCACAGGCGCTCTCTGCCTTTAACTGAAAAACAAAACAGAACAGGCCATTTGTGCCACTTACTGTTATTCCTAAGCTTTTGGCATAGATCCTGCCAACTTCAGCAACCCTCAAGAGTAAATAATGTTGGGGAGGAAGCAGGAGGGGAATTATTTAAAATTGAGGACAGGTAAATGTTAATGAATTTGTCACTGGCTATAATCGATAGTTGTAAGCAGGAGTTTAAATGTTATAAATTTCTACTCATTTAGGACTTTGCCTACTGTGTCATGATAAACCACAAGTCTGGAATTGTAAAAGCAGATGGAATGGTAAAATCAGGTTAATTTGGACTAATATGGAAAGAAGACCAAGCAAAAGAATATTTGAAAAGAAATAAAGCTATTTAGAGTATACTAAAACTCCAAACAGTCACTAACCTAGTTTTGTCAAGTATAGGTTTTGTTAAATCAGCATTAATGAATAGATAAGATTCACTTGTATTTAAAAGACTTGTTCACATATAATTAATATGCTAAAAAGAACTTATAAAAATACATTCTCCTTTTTTATCTCTTTCTGTTTGCAGTCTTATTTTTCTTAAGATGTCTCTTTTATCCCCTGGCCTAGATTGCAAGGACCACTTGTACTGGTACTAGTACTTTATCGCCTAGGGTTCCCAGCATAGCTCTGAGCTCACAGTAGGTGTTCCAGATGTACTTGTTTGGCTGCATTGTCCCAGCCCTTGCATTAGAATGCTGTGGTATTTGGGGACAGAGTCACCTGTCCAGAGGTTCAGGGTGTGTTACAATGACCTGGATTCGTTAACTTCACCTTGACCAGGAATGTGGAAGGGTGGAAATGGAGGTAAACATGCTGGAGAAGTGTTAGCCACAGAGTAAGCACCCAGTAAGTATTTGTTAAATGAATGAACGAGTGATGGATAGATGGATGACAGACTACGTGGGGAAGCACTACCATCTCATCCTTACTCCTAGCGTGTTCCATGACTTTTGGCAAAATCACTTTTTAATTTGTGAAATAAAAAGTTTTGGGAAACACTAAATAAGATGCAACTCCAAAGATCAGGAAAAGAATTTGTGGTGCTGAAATGAATCCTCTTCAGCTGCTTCTGATGACTAAGCCTTCCTTTCTGGAAAGATGTTATTTGGTATTGTAAGCATATAAAGTTCATAAAACACTGAGGCAGAATGATTTGGACTCCTTTACATGTGTATGATTATTATTTATCATTTCATGAGGTTCTTTCCTGTATACTCTTAGTCTTCATAGTAATCCTATGAGAAAGGCAAAGCTGATAGCTCCATCTTTCAGATGTGCATCTGAAGTCAAGGAAGGTTGAGACTAGATTTGTCAACTTCACCCCGATTAAGTTATGCAGTGAGGCTAGGAAGGCAGTTCTGTAAAGAGGTCTCTGGTCATCCAGGGGAGAGCTCCTTTTTTAGGCTTTGCCATCAAATCCAAGAATACCCAAAGACAGATGCCTGTAAAACATTAGTGGGAGAAAGCATGGAAATGACCAGTAGTCAGTATCAGTTTCTTATAAGGCATAGTTTTTAATATTTTGCTTTATGCAGGATTCTTAGTATATGCAGTTATCCTTCAGTCTACATTGAAATATAAAGTTATTTCAATTCACTGGTCTTCTTCTAAGGTCTCACCCTCCTTTGTTTGCCACCATTGGCCATTCCCTCTTCCTGGATGCTCTCTCCTTCCTTGGCTCCTGTGATGCTGCTCTCCTGGCTTTCCTCACGCAGGTGCTAACCATTCCTTCTCTGTCTCGTTCCCTGTTTCATCCTCCTCTAGTCACCTAAATTGTCAGTGGCCCCTAAAACTGCCCTAGCCCCTGTTTCTTTTTCTATACCTTCACCTTTAGGATTCTCATACACTTCTCTGGACTCAATTTCTTTATCAATAACTCCCACATCCATACATCTAGCCCGTATCGACCCCAGCCCCACTTTCTTCCATATGCCTGCTAGCCATCTCTAACTATAAGACCTATCAGCCCCTCAAACTTAACACGTCTAAAACGGAATTTTTCCTCTATCCCCCTGTCAAGAAGGTTCCATGATCAACTTTTTCTTCTCCCATACCCCTGTTAACTCATCAGCTGCTAAGTCCGGTCACAACACGTCTTCCATACATTCTTCCCTCTCCAGACCATCCTCATTCAGACTCCAACTTCCCTCTGTGTTGTCTGTCCCCACGTGGAGGGCATGGGACTCTCTATACTTGTGTTCCAATCCACATATTGCCTGTCCCCTAGGAAGCCCTTGATAATTGCTTTTCCTTCATTCATTCATTGCCCCTTCTTTGCCTAGGCTCTTATAACAGCTTCTTACCTGGTCTTAATCTAAATCTCCCTAAGGCATGGTCTGACCATGTTGCTTCCCTGCTCAAAATCCTTCAGTCGTTACCTTCTTTAGAAGTTACCTTCTAAAATAGCATCAATCCTTTTTAAGGTTTATTTCAGGTTTATTTTCCTGCCCTGCCTAGACTGTTAGCAGTTCCCTAATCTTGACCAGACTTACCCTTTAAGGTTTCCATCTCCTCCATAAGGCTCTCTCTGATGCAGCTTCTCAACAGAGTCGCACAAAACGGACACACATATCCATGGCTGTCTCCTGAAAAGGTTTCCTTCTCTTCAGGTTTTTCAAGTGCAGAGTGTCAACACTCAGGGCCGCCCCCATCACACCCTATCTGGTGTCATACATCTGCTGTATTACGTACTTGTCCTATCTCCCCACTCAGCTGTCCACTCCTTAAAGGCAGGTATTTGTTCATCTTTGTATTCCCAGGTATAGCACAGTGCTTCCCATGTAGATGCTTTAAAAATGTGAATTGAATAGAATTAAACTGTTATTTTAGATGTTTCCCATCAACTGAAAATCATTTGAAATGAATAAGTGAAAGTTGTTAGTTTACCAAAGAAATGTAGTTCTTAGTCAATGGAATCTTTTTGAAAATATAGAGTAAGTTCTATACTAAAATCATGTGTAAGTTCATTCAACTTATTTTAGGCTAAATTAAAGAATATAAATTAATATGATTTTTCACATTGCACAAGGATTACCATGACTTTGAAACTGTTAGGTGATTTTTCAGGAAATAGGTTGTGCTGAATGGCATCTTAGGTAATTTTGTTTTCATCCTAAGCTAATCTACGTATCTTGTCTCAAAACAGGTGAAACTACTCATCATCTTCCCCCTGTGAAAGCCCCTGTTCAGACCAAAAAGAAAACGTCCAAGCATTGCTTTCTTTGTGGCAAGAAAACAGGACTAGCCACCAGCTATGAATGCAGGCAGGTTGCCTAGTTGGAAAAGTTGAAATACTTTGTGTAGAGTGATCCAGCTTGAGGATTCTGCTGCCCTACTCCCACCCTCAAACCCTACCCCCTAAAAGCTCGAGTTTAATTATTTACATTTCCATTGTTGGGTGATGTTAAATTAATTGACTTTAATCAAACAGTGTTCTGCCTTCATGACTGGCCTGAAATAATAGCCAGAGAGAATGTTTAAGTCCTTGAAAAGCAACTGGGGCCCTGGAAACTCTTAGATGCATTAGCAGAAGAGTGTAGTTGATTAATTTTTAGCCTAAACCTCAGTATGGGAAGATATGCTGTTATTAGAGAAGAAACATGTGGAGTTGATATTCAGTTTGTGAAAATAAGGAAAATTGCATTTATGAACTTTGGAAACATATTCACAGTTTTTTTCATTTTCCAATTCTACTTTCCCAATGTAAATTTTTATCTTTTTGAAACTTAGTATGACAATATATTTTCTTTTTTTAAAAAATGAACCTTCCTATTAAAGAGATCAGAGATGAAGGGTTAAGAGTGGGGAAATAAGTACATTTTAATTCTGTATTTGCATTGAATTCTGATTTTTTTTTCCTTTTCATGATGATTATTATTTTTTAATCCATGTAAGTACCAGTCAGTCCAATGAGAACTGCCTTCCTGGGGCTCACTCGGGCTATGTAACTGAAATTGCTTAACAGGATTTTTAATATATATATATAATTATCTTTTTTAAAAAGTTGTATTGATGATGCTCTTTGTCTTTCCTTACATCCTGAGGTGAAGAGGACTTCATCCTTCCCACGCTCTCTCCAGATTGAACCTTCCGTTATAACAAAGAACCTTACATTATAAGCAAAATGGTCCCATACTGTGGCTGCCCCTGTACTGAGTTCAGAGTTTCCCTCTTCCCCCTGCCAAGGTGGGGAGATGTTTTTTAAGATCTGTTTTCTGGCTTCAGCATTACTTTTGCCATTACTTTTAGCAGTCTTTTCATTTATGCTGAGCCATGTTTGAAAAGATCTTTCATAGAAATTTTAAATTTCAAATGTCAGTGTTGACTAGATTTTAAAATTATTTGATTTTTACCCCACAACCAAATTCCCAAGATACTTAGCCTTCTTCTAAGTTTACAGGCTACAAGAGAAATTTTGAACATTGTTTTAATATGGTATGGTTTTAATATTCTTTAGAGTACTAGACCCCCATTCTATCACCTGAAAAATGTTTTATTATAAAATGTCATATTGCCAAGCTAGCATAGTGGGGGGGGGGGGGGGTTATTTTGTGGTTATAGTTTTCCTACGTGGGAAGAAAATGGCAGCTCCAAAATGGCTCCAGAAAACCAGAGGTTCCACTTGGCCCTCTAGGAGCTCCAGCTCTGCTTTCACGTGCCTGTCATAGAAATGTGACTATTCATACACACTTTCTTTGTGCTTTAGATGTGGAAACAATTTCTGTGCAACGCATCGATATGCAGAAACACACGGCTGCACTTATGATTACAAGAGTGCAGGAAGGAGATATTTACAAGAGGCAAATCCTGCTGTTAGTGCACCAAAACTTCCAAAAATCTAACTATGGTGGCACTGCCAGAGGAAATGGATTACTGATGACAGAAGAAGTATTGCTTAGGCTGAATTAATTTTGTTCAACTCCACAAAAAAAAAAAAAAAAGATTTGCCAAGTAACAAAAAGCACACAATGCATACTGCTGGAGAGTAATGTGAACACTACTGTCATTAACATCTTTATTCTTTAGTGAATCAAAAGTTTTAAAAGTAGTTTTTAAAAATTTACACTATAATGATTTAACTTGTGTTACTGCACGTCTTGTGTTAAGTGTTTTATATTTGAAAATGCTATTTCACTAGACAAATCTTTAAAAGATGCACTTTACTAAGTTAATTTTACTGTGGAACCAACCAGATTTGAGGGGGTGCTAATGAGAGTGTCATAGAAGGTCTTCATGTCTTAGAATGTCTACTGTATTCAATCCTACCTGTTACTGTTTTATTTCATTTTGTTTTTAATTCCATGGGTAATCTTTTAAGTTAATTCACTAGGAAGCTCCCCCTTCAAACCGTATTTTAAGAACATTCAGTTTGCTGTGTGGTGTTTTATCGTACACTTTTTCTCTTCCATTCAGATTGGCATTCGGATATTGTGTATACATTCTACAAAACATATCATGTGAATCACAATATATATTTCTTAAAACATTACTCTGTGTATGACAGTTTTTTTAAATAAACAATGTCCCACTTTTTGCCATGAAATACAGAAAACAGCTTATTTTAACTTTTTTGTAATGGATAGATTTTTTTTTAAAGACTTCACAACTTGGTTTGTTTTGCTAAGATGTTGAATACTGTTACCAAGAGAAATTCAAATAAATATTCAATTTTATTATGGGTCTGATGCATTTTTTATAAGTAACTCAGTAATTTAAATTTTTATATAAGCCAATCTGAAGTGAATGCAGGAATTAAAACACTTGGAAAATAATCAGTCTTTATCATTAAATTCATTCATGGAAACAGGTCAGTTAAGCCCAAGGGGCAATTGGAAATACATTTCTATGCATTTGGACTACTTAAAATAGCAAGGTCCAACTGAGGTTAGAACTTTACTGGACTATTTCCATATCAAATGAGATGATGCCAGGCAGCTAAGAAGCCTATCTTGTCTGCTACAAATCCATCCTGCCGATTTACCTCCAAATGCCAATTAGTTGAGCTTTTCTCACATTGACCCATAAATATTTTCTTAACTCACCATGTCCCCAGAGTTTCTCCTTCCTCCACATCCCAAGACATTGGGAAAAAGATCCACAAAGTGGGAGAAAAGCTAGGCAGAAAGTGGAAGAAGAGGAACGTTGAAGAAAATAAAAATCCAGGTGGGTTGAGGAAGCAGCAATGGTAAATGCATGGTGGCTTTACATAGGCATCCATCCAAAGCTGCCTACATAAAGATGTGACCAATATGCAGCACTTGAGATTTCTAACCTGAACCTAGAGAAGCTTCATGCTCACATGGGCTCACATGCCTTTGTCCGTGCTAGTGCATGCCCTGGTGGTGATGTCTTACAATCTAGGTCATTGTAGAACCTCCCAGTGTTAGATCTTGGACAGATGAGCATGGACACCAGAGACAAGTGGCTTTCTTGACATATAGATATGGAAAGTATATAGAATGGACAATAAATGATGGAAGAACTGGGATCCACCTTCCTGTTTACAATGGCAGGTTTAGGTTTCATAATCCTAGACCAATTCAATATACCAAATGTTTCAGACCTCAGTCGGTTTCTTCTCTTGAATGGCTTCATCTGTGTCCCATTAGAGTTTCTTCCTGACCAGTGTATTCCTGAGAATAAAGTTGGTGGACTCTTATCTGTGGGACAAAAATACTTTTTGTAAAGAAATAATAAGATACTGGATTTGTATTTAATGAGGTGTTAAAGACTGGACTTGTCCTCTAGTACAAACCATGGAAAAAGGATTATTTCTATTTTGAGATGACACAAGTCTTGCTATAAAAATGCAAAAGGCCTGATTCCATCTTTTGGAAGAAACTAGTCATGAAGAGGATAAATTTACCACAATTACTTTTCCTCTCTGACCTACCCTTCATGGGAAGTCACTTCCTTTTAGGTATTTCTTTTTTCATTTTTAAGAGAAAATACTTTTTTTCATTTAATGAAAATATTGAATGAAATATTTCATTACTTTTTACAACTCTGTAAATTTCACTTTTTTTTTAAATAGGAAAAGGTATTTCTAGTAAAGATTTTAACATGTAAATGTAGGAAACTAGAACCTCCAAACTGATAACTATAAACAAACTGCAAGAATGACCATACATTATTTTAAATGTAGCTTTAATAGTCTGTAACCTTATGTGACACTCTTCCCTAAACAATAAGCTAATGAGATATTTTTTCTTCCAAAATAAAAAAAAGAAAAGAAGGTCCAAATACTTGGTTATGGGAGATTCAATTTGAAAAAAAAAATTTTTTGTTGATTTTACTTTTTCAATTCTGTACAGAAAAGGAAACTAGTTCATGCTTTGTGTATAATAAAATCTTAGCATTACATACATACGTGATCACAAGCATTTTTTAATAACATGAGAAAATTTGTTTTATGAAGCTTAGCATTTCTTTTTTGAAATGTACATAGATTTATATGTGTATTCATATATATATGACAGTTTTATAAGGACAATAGGAGTAAATATAAAGTCTTCTTGAAATTGGTGGAGTGAGCTTATAAGGGGATTGGGACACTTTACATTTCCCTCATCAATACTAAGAAAAGCTGTTAAAAAGCCATTTAAGAAAGTGAAAGTCAGGGGCAGCTAAGTGGTGAAGTAGATAGAGCACCAGCTCTGAAGTCAGGAGTACCTGAGTTCAAATCCGGACTCAGACCAAACACTTGACACTTACTAGCTGTGTGACCCTGGGCAAGTCACTTAACCCCAATTGCCAAAAAAAAATAAAAAAGTGAAAGTCACTCCCCAAAATTCAGTTCAACAAATTTTATTAGAAAATGAGAAGACTCAAGAAGAGCTCACACAGTTTTTTAAATGACCGACTTATGAAACAAGAACACTAGAAGAATTATAGATGGAAAAATAAACTATAAGATATCCTGAGAAGTCCTCAAGTGGATAAATAAATGACCCGAAGAATTTAAGGAAAAATGAATCCTGGCAAGAATGTCAATAGAAGAGCTTGCCTCAGTTAAAAAAAAATCCTAGAAAGAACTGAAGCCTGAATTAAGTTTGATTAAAGTCAAAAAGTAAAGCTAGAATGTAAACATATCTACAAAAAGATCAAGAGAAAAATAATGTCTTACCTCATCCTCCAAGGAAAACTAGAGGATCTATGGAAGGAATCAAGAGCACAGGCCCTAAAGTTGAAAACCAAATCATAGATAATGTAGAGGAAATGAAAGCACAAGGTTAGAAAATAACTTTAAAATACAGAAATTATGTGGCTGTAAAGTATCAGATTAAGGCAATCTCAGAACTACTGTCATAGAGACAAAAAAAACCTTGAAAACATGAACACCATATTCCAAAAATACCACTGGAGAAAAATTGCAGAATTATTAAAATTATATGTATAAAACATCAAAGAATAGCTTAAAATTTGTCTCCCAAATATGTTATTAAACTTAAGCATAATAATGATGGTGGGGAGGGGAGAGGAGAGGATCATGCTACAAAAAGATAGGTGTGACATGGCATGGGACATCACTCAATATATATGATGTTGTTTTTCTAGGAATGGCAAGGGAGATTTGAGATACGCTATATATCAAATAAAAAACCAAAGGACTGCAAACCCAGAATCACTTCTCCAGCAAAACTAAATAAGCTATTCAATGACAAGAAATTTTGGCTTAATGTAAGAAAAAACTTCTCAATAATTACAGGGACCCCAAAGTGACCTGCCTCAAGATACAATACAGGGTCCCTTTATAACAAGAAATTTACAAGTAAAGATTGGATGGCTCCTCACTGATAATTTATATGGTAGAAAGGATTCTAAATGGTCGTATACCAGCTGGGCCTCAGATTTTTGCTTCCAACTTTGTAAAATATATTAACAGTCATAGATTGATGCAATACCAAGCAACATGCCAGTAGGCCTCTTCATGGAATTAAATAAAACGATAACAAAATTAATGAGGAAAAGAAAATGAGCAAGAATTTAAAAAAGAGCTAGCCAAAAAAAAAAAAAAAACTATCCCTACCAGATTACAAAATTTATGCAGTAATGATGGAAAGCAGTACTGGATATAGAATAGGAAAACAAAACATTAAATGAGCATTTACTAAGCACCTACATGTAGATAAAAACAAAATGGTCTGATTCATTTCCAGGAATAGGCCACTAGCTACTGGGACATTAGGGGAGCGTTGGGGTGTCACGATGGGCCCTCCAATTGAGTGAAGGAAGTTGAGGAGTGAAAGTTCACAACCTGGCTCCAACCTACCTTTTGAGTCTTATAGTACATTACCTTCATTACATAATCTGTGGTCTAACTCAGGAGTTTCCAGCCTGAGTTACACATACCACTGGGGCTATGAGGAGCTTATTAAGGGGATTCATGAAATATTTGGTAAATATATTAAACATAAGTTCCCAAAGTGGGCAATACTGCCCTGGGGGGGTGCTGGAACGTTGGGGTGGGGGGTAGTAGCCTTGGGTGCAATTGGGAGGGTTGAATAAAAATAAAGAGGTAATGGAAGCATAAGGAAAGAAGAGAAGAAAATTTTGAAAAACCATTTGTATGTTTCATCTGTTGGGTAACAGTTGAAGACGTAATGATTATATTATTTTCCAAATAAACACACAAAATGCAACTTATAAGGGATAACTTATCCCTGATCACTGATCACTGATCAAGTCCACCAGTAGGTCTTAACAAGCAGGTGTTTGCAGGCAAGCATGTCTCACTGTTGGGAAGTCCAGCATGGATCTGCAGGAATATGTGCATGTAATGACTTGTT